TTATCCTGCCTCAGCCTCCTGGGCAGCTGGGACTACAGGGGCGCACTACCACACCCAGCTAACTTTCGTATTTTTAGTAGAGACAGGATTTCACCATGTTGGCCAGGATGGTCTCCATCTCTTGACCTCGTGCTCTACCCGCCTCGGCCTCCCAAAGGGCTGGAATTACAGGCGTGATCCACAGCACCCAGCTAAAAAAAAAAAAAAAAATTTTTTTTTGAGACAGAGTCTACTCCATCGCCCAGGCTGGAGTGCAGTGGCGCGATCTCAGCTCACTGCCACCTCTGCCACCGAGGTTCAAGCAATTCTCCTGCCTCAGCCTCCCGAGTAGCTGGGATTACAGGCAACTGCCACTGTGCCCAGCTAATTTTTGCATTTTTAGTAGAGACGGGGTTTCACCATCTTGGCCGAGCTCCTGACCTTGTGATCCACCTGCCTTGGCCTCCCAAAGTGCTGGGATTACAGGCGTGAGCTACCGCACCCAGCCCCAAAATTTCTTTTTAAATTAGCTCTTGTAGTGGAGGTTGAGGCAGGAGGCGGGATAGCTTGAGCCTAAGAGTTAAAGGTTACAGTGAACTGTGATCACGACATTGCACTCCAACTTGGACAACACAGCAAGACCTTGTTTAAAAAAAAAAAGTTGTACATGTGTAATATTTTCTTGTATATACTGTATTTGCCCAAACACAAGGTGATGCATAAAGAATTGAACACTTCCAAAATGATTCAGCAACTATGTCATATATGAAGAGTTAGTGAAAAATAATTTATAAAGGAACTATAAGTTACTTCCATAAACTAATCTCAGTACCTCTCATATCACATAGCACACACCAATTCTGTATTGTAATTTATCCCACACCCTTTAGAACATTATCATGATCAACGCAGAAAGGAGAGCCATGACACATTCTTTATCTCCTCAAGGATGTGAGGAAGAGGTAGTACAAGAATAAGAGTTGCTGGGCCGGGCGTGGAGGCTTACGCCTATAATCCCAACACTGTGGAAGGCTGAGGTGGGCAGATCATTTGAGGTCAGGAGTTCGAGACCACCCTGGCCAATATGGTGAAACCCCGTCTCTACTAAAAACACAAAAATTAGCCAGGTGTGGTGGCACACACTTGTAATCCCAGCTACCTGGGAGCTGAGACAGGAGAATCGCTTGAATCCAGGAGACGAAGGTTAAAGGGAGCTGAGATTACAGACATAGCAATCCAGCCTGGGCAACAGAGCGAGACTCCATCAGAAAAAAATTAAACAAACAAAAAAAAATAAGACTTGTATGGTAAAGTAGCTGAGAATTTGGCAGCCACTATGCCAGAATTAGGTCAGTATTTTGAACACAAGTTCAATCTCTCACAATGGTAAATGAGCCTTAAGGAATCTCCAGACCCCACACTCAAAGTAAGTCAAAGTCCTGGCCAGGCAGGATGGCTCACATCTGGAATCCCAGTACTTTGGGAGATCGAGGCAGGTAGATCACGAGGTCAGGAGTTCAAGACCAGCCTGGCCAAGATGGTGAAATCCCATCTCTACCAAAAATACAAAAATTAGACAAGCGTGGTGGCGGGTGCCTGTAATCCCAGCTACTTGGGAAGCTGACGCAGAGAACTGCTTGAGCCCAGGAGGCGGAGGTCGCAGTGAGCTGAGATCGCACCACTGCATTCTAGTCTGGGCAACAGAGCGAGACTCCATCCCGGGAGTGGGGGAAGGTAAGTCAAAGTCCTATCTTAACGTATAAATAAAAACCCAGGTGCAGTGGCTCATGCTTGTAATCCCAGTATGTTGGGAGCCAAGGAGGGCGGATCACTCAAGGTCAGGAGTTTGAGACCAGCCTGGCCAACATGGTGAAATCCCATCTCTAATAAAAATACAAAAATTAGCTGGACGTGGTGACACATGACTGTAATCCCAACTACTTGGGAGGTTGAGGCAGGAGAATAACTTGAACCTGGGAGGCAGAGGTTGTGGTGAGCCAAGATCACGCCACTGCACTCTAGTCTGGGCAACAGAGTTAGACTCCATCTCAAAAAAAAAAAAGTGCAGCTGTAGGAAAAAAATCAGTGTATTAGCACAACTAGATATGCTATTTCTGTCACCGTGTTCTTAGCAACATGAATGGACTAAGATTCACACACGTAAAAATTAGAAAATGTAAAAATAGAGTAGAACATGGTGACATGCACCTGTAGTCAGCTACTTGGAAGGCTGACAGGAGGATCCCTTGAGCCCAGGAGTTCAAGGCTGCAATGTACTATAATCATGCCTGTGAACGGCCACTGCACTCCAGCCTGGGAAACACAGTGAAATTCTGTGTCTATAAAAAATAAATTTAAATAAATTTAAACAGGCAACCCTCCCCCCACCAGAAATGTAAAAATAATTCTACCATTTGTAAAACTGCCAGGTAAAATGAGAGCACTTTCCCACTCCAAAAATTATTCAACAGAAAAACTGCCCTAAGTCTTCACAAATCATCTCATTTTCTGATCTGTTTAACAAAGTTCCTTCTGAAGAAGATAACCTGAAAAGACCTCCATCAATGCTAGTTTCAGGTGCTTATGAAGAAATAAAAAATTTAACAGATGTAAGTATTCCTGGGGATATATACCACATAATTGCATAATTGTGTTGGGTGTCTTCAGAACACTTTAAAAAACAACAAAATAAACTTATGTTGCAGAGATCAGAAATACACATGAGGAACGAAAGAAACAAACTGTCAGTGTTACAAGAATGGATGGTGATACCCTGTGAAAAAATTTCTAATGTAAATTAGATCTTACACAAAAGGAAAGAAGTTATATAACTTTAAAAAGGGGGTTGCGGATGACCAAAAAACACAAAATATCCAAGATATGCACGAATATAAAATAAGTCAAATGTTATGTGGTGAGGTATATATGAATCAGGAAAAGAAATCACTATTTTAAAATCATAGATTACTTTTCTAGTAATTTTTAAAAATTTTATTTATTTATTTTTATGGAGACGTGGTCTCCCTTTTGTTACCCAGGCTAGTTTCGAACTCCTGGGCTCAAGGGATCCTCCTGCCTCGGCCTCCCAAAGTGTTGGGATTACTACAGATGTGAGCCATCGCACTCAGCCAGATTACTTTTTATAGTAATTTTTCATATATATTCTCACTAGTGAGTTTCAATATTACGAGGCTGACTGCTTCATCTATATCCCCAACATTTATATATTTAAATAGGTAAAATAAATAAAACTTGAGGGGCTGTCAATGTCTCAATGGGAAAATGCGGGCTTGCTTTATATTTGGGGTTACCTTACATTCAGGTACATACAGTGTATGTGTATATATGTTTAAGTGTGTGTATATATTCCAAAATGCTTAAAGTGAGACAGGAGGATGAAGCCACACACTTTCAGAGCTATCCCTTTTGCTGGAAATGACCTGCATACAGTTCAAACCAACAACTGATTGATTCACCATTGATGCCAAATACCTAGATATACAAAGCTGAGAAGCAGCAAAATTTCTTCCCTACGAAACTGAGGTCTCTGGGGGTAAAGATACAGCCTTACAATACATTGTGGTGATTGTAATCTGTATGTATAAGATTCAGAGATGGAAAAAAGAGCAGGTGATTATTTTGGAAGGGAAAGCAAATTTTCCCTGGTTTCAATTTCATACTCTTAACTCATCATACAACAGTTACAGCACTTTTCACACTTCATTACAATTACTAGCTCATATATCAGTCTCTCCCATGAGAGAGCTCACTAAAGGCAGTACCATGTCTTCTTCATCCTCAAATCGCCAGCACCTAGCAGGGTACACCTTAAATATTTATTAAATGAATCCTAATAAATGAAATTTAACTTAGAAGACATCTGTAGAAAGCAACAATATTCTATTTAGTCTATGCTTTAGTGCAGCGATAATTCAGAAAAAAAAACATTAGCAATCTAGAGAGTAGCATAATTGTTTTTTCAAGTTTATACCACCCCATATTCCTCCTCCTGCCACTATAGTGATATGATGAACTGCCTCAATAAAAAGCCTCTACTTCAAGAACAGAACACAGAAGAGATTTTTTAAAAGGCATTTTCCTGGCAGAGAAAGGACTGACATCCTTTTTATTTGTGGCACAGCAAAGATGAGGAACTGTAAAGGGAATATGTAGAGAAGAACAAATTCAGATACAGCTGGGTACACAAAGCAAACCCCTAAGATACTACATATTAATATATGTCTGAAATTTAGCCTCTTAAGTCATGGCTGAACCCAAGTCAAATTTACTGAACTGTCCAAACTTTAATTTTAAAAGTGCAAATTAAATTGTTTTAAATGAAGTCATTATGTAATTGCTCTAAAATTTTAATCAACACTGAAAACATATTTTTCAAATTAGTTCAATCTACTGTCTCTTAAAATTATTTTTCATTTGTCTCTTTACCCACTAATGTCATAAATACAAAAACTCTTAGAACAAAAGTGGAAAGTTTAAGTCATGAAAATGCTCTATATAAAAACGTACTCTTGGGATACTCTTGACTTCACTGCCACTGACTTGTATTTTCAAGTGAAAGAGTTGTTCATCCCCACTCCTCTGATTATCAACATGTTTTAAATTACTACATAAGCCTTCTTAATATAAAAAAGTGTAAACCTAGAGCTTTCCCTTGGCATTCTGGTAGACTCTGCATTCCTACCACTAGATGGCAGACTGTACAGAGGAACAATAGGACCTTGGTAGGAACACAGATGCATTCAGGCTCATCTGTAAACCACATCCTTAAATCTGAGATTGTTTAGGATTCCATTCTAGTACTCAGGTAAGTTGGTGATTTTCAAAACTAGATACCTTAGGCCCATCCTAGATTCCAAATAAGGATTACTGTAAAGGATGAGGAAAATCATATTTTGGTAAGCACACCTCAGATATGTATTACTTCTATGTCACTTTTTAATTTATCAGAAATGCAAGACAATAAAAAGCTACTTAATGGAATAAAAACTCATCACTTAATATAAGAATTAAAAATTTTATTTAAACTGAATGAGAAAGCAAAACGAAAGCATTACAGTGCTCCAACATGAAAAAATAACATATCCATGGTATAAATTACATTCTCTTCTTTGAAGATCTTAAGTTTCACAATGACAACCCCACCTATAAGAAAGAAAACATATTAAGTATCAAGTAATTTAAGAACAAATGCCAAAATTACAAACACTTTTTTGTATTACATGCTAAGAACTTAACTAATAGTTCATTAGCCCAGTTAAATATAATCAGGACTCTCAAAACACAAACAAAAATCTAGTACTGGATCAGAAAAATACAGAAACCTCATTTCCTAAGCAAAACAAAAGTCAACTAATAACACACTGTGAGTACTACTTACCTCCACCAATGCTGTGAACCCAAGCAGGGTCCAGGGTGGGGGCAGAAAAATTCTCCTTTCTTTCCAACAAGGCAGGGAAAAAGAAACCAACAATTGAGAGGCTCTGCAAGTGCAGATCAGAGTACTATAAACGAAAAAACATTATCTGAGGAGGTTAAAGGAATTGGGACTAAGTCTGGAGAAAAGTACGTTATTAGTTAGGAATGACCAACCATCCTGGTTTTGCTATAACAGTCCTGGTTCATACCCGTTGTCCCAGTGTCCCATTTGGATAGTACACCCTCTCACTCTTAAAAGAGATCACCCAACTTTGGATAACATATTACACATCACCTCAGTTATAAGCACCCTAATAAAAGTTTACATGTAGCTAAGAAATTAATACACTACCAGTAGCAGCTATTCACAGTGCATCTGCATTTTCCTTTTATGAGTGCTATATTCTGGTTCTTTCTCAGCCTCCTTAAAACACAAACGCGCTTCTATTCTGCCTACTTTGTCCTCTAACCCCTCTACCCATGACCATTTTTTAACAATAATCTCTGCTCCTGTTTTTTTCACCCTGGGAAACTCATCTAATTTCTTAACCTCAAAGAAAATCTCTATGCAAATCATTCATGAACTTCTCAGAAAAATCAATCTAAGGTTTTCTGGGGGAGTTAGAGACATTAGAATTTTTCACCTGTGTCCAAAAACATTTCACATTCAAAAAACAAAACACGGTCTCAACTGTAACCTAAATGTCCCATTTTTGTTTTAATCAATAATACTCATTCTCAACTTCGTTAAATTCTCAGGAATCCTGTCTCTTTGTAACTTCCACAATGTGTGACACAGTGCCTTAAACATGTGTTCACATGACAGTATAAATATTTGTGGATTTGCAAGTGAAACAAAGGCCCATTTCTCCACTCATAAGATCCAGGAGAGAGAAGGGTAACAGGGAAAAAGCCTTCCCTGTAGGTAGGTTAAAGTTATTCGTTAATAGCCAAACCCATGTCTAAAAATAAAGTAGGAATTCAGAAGATTTTTTTCATATCTTCTCTTAAAATGTTTAAATTCTGCCCAGTCACAGGGAATAATGGATTGCAGTTAGACTCTCTGCCAGAGTCTCCCTCACTCAGAAAACACAAGTTCCGTTCCATGTCCCCAATGCACATAGAAAAATGAGAATCTTTATATTCCACCTTCATGAAGCTTTGCAAACCTCAGTAAGAAAAAACAGAAATCCCATTTATTCTCGTATTAACTGCATACTATAATATGCCAATAGTGTCTTAGGAGTTAGAAATATACAATAGTGGACAAAGTTTCTATTATCATCATGGAGCTTATATACTAATGGGAGGAATGTAATCAGTACACAAATGAACAAATATATGTCAGACGGTGGCAAGTGCTAAGAATTTCTTAGCTCATGGGAGGGATGGAGCTATGTGTTTAGGGGAGGTTGCTAGGAAGGAGCCCCACATAAAACGACTTTTGAGAATTATGGCAACAATGGTAGTATGTCACCAGTGGCCTGGAGGACTATGGAACTGACCATCATGATCAACTACCACCCTCCACATAGTGAGTAAGTGTGAAGGCCTCCCATTCATGCTATATCTCACATGTCTGCTCCACCCGTGCCAAACCAAAGACACATCAAACAGGACTGTCTCTTGGTAATTTTGCAAAGCCTCCAGTTTTACGTATATAGTACTAGAGACAGCAGAAATCTCATTTATTTATTCACATGCTTCACAATTAAAACAATCTCTTCACTTTAAGTGAGTCAAAATTACACCAGCCATTTATTACATCTGATTAAGTGACATACCTGTGGCTAGTAAGCATCTGAAGACCCTATAAAGCCAGGAGCTCCCAACCCCCAGGCTGTGGACCGTTACTGGTTTGTGACTTGTTAGGAACTGGGCCACAAAGTGGCTGGTGAGCTAGCAAGCATTTCTGCCTGAGCTCCAGATCAGCGGGGGCATTAGACTCTCATAGGAGCGCGGACCCTATTGTGAATTGCACATGCAAGAGATCTAGGTTGTGCACTCCTTATGAGAATCTAATGCCTGATGACCTGAAGTGGAACAGTTTCATCCCGAAACCATTCCTCCACACATCTCCTGCCAGTCTGTGGAAAATCTGTCTTCCATGAAACCACTCCTCTTGCCAAAAAGGTTGGGGACCGCTACCGTAAGCCATTGAGTAACAAGTGAAAGTCATTTCTGAAAAGTCTTTTTTCAAACTGCTGGAAATCAACTGCAGTAATGGTGGATGTAGCACCAAATAATAACCTATCTACGTGGCTTAAAATTTTGAAATAATACTCTGTAAGTGGAAAATACTAGCTATTTTAATACATTATTAATATATCACTATAAAATAAAGCCATTAATAAATCACTACAAAATAAAGCCAAAGTTATTTTTCCTAATAAGTTTAATCTCAAGCCTTTAAGTTTCTACAAGAAGGAAAAATCACTAGGATTATTCTACAAGAAGAAATAATCACCAGGACAAAAAAATATCTCTATCCTCATACACCTCATAACCATACAATTGTTCTTACAAGATTCCTAGCAGGGTACAGCGGTATGCACCTGCAGTCCCAGCTACTCAGGAGGTCAGGTGGGTGGATCACTTCAGCCCAGGAGTTTGAGGCTGTAGTATCCAATGATGACAACTGTGAATAGCCACTGAACTCCAGCCTAGGCAACATAGTAAGGCCCTGTCTTGAAATTAAAAAAAAAAAAAAAAGACTTCATATAACCCACATTCACCTATTTCTCCGCATTAAAAAGTCTGACTTCACTTCCTGACAAATGCTTTTCTTAAAAAGAATTATAAAATTTTATATGGATCTATATTTAGATAATATCCCATTTATTTTCAAAACCACATTCTATCTATGAACGGATATATGAAGAGTCTCCTAAATTTCTTAAAGAGTGTATCTTTATCTTGGCTTGTGTGAGAAAGTAATATAAATTTTAAGTGGTCTAGACAAGTTGGAAGGGAAATATAATCATCTTTCTCCCATCATTCTACAGTACCAATCTTTCACCAACTTTTTTTTGCTATGATGCCAAAGGATCTTCAAATAAACCTTCTACCCAACTACTACTTTTCAAGTTAATCTCTTTAAACTTGACAAACACTAGAGAATGTTAACTCGTTTTTATTTTCATTCCTATATTAGATACCCTCCAGAGTGACTGGGATTGGCAGGTGTCTTGTCTTTAGCTCTTTCTATAAGATATTTCATTAAAGTTAATTTCCCCCATTAAAAATCTTCTGGTTCACATTTATTTGATAGTCTGTCCTAAGTGCTATTCATTTTCAATCTCTGCTTCAAATACTGATGATGAAAATTTTAACTTGCCATCACTGAAGTTCTGCTCTAGACCCTCCAGCTTCCATGCATGGTCCCATCCATTCCCATGTGCTACAACTGTACTGTAACAGGACTAAGCAACACATCAGAATGAGCAAAAAAATCTAGAATCAAATTCGAGATTCATGATTCACCATTGTGATTTCAGGCATGTTAATTAGTCACTCAGTTTCCATTTCAAAATTTAAAAAACAGGACTGACACTTAATTTTCACAACATCTTGGTTGAGTAAGGTAATATATTTAAGATACTTTAAAAGTACCCTAAAGCTTTTAAAGCTTTAAAGCACCATTACAAATACTTTTATTTCTTTCTTACCATCATTTTGTATTCATGTTTTCCTTCATTTTAGGAGACAATTCCTCTATCACCTTTCCAATACAGCGTTATGAAAATACTTCAAACTCAATTACTGCTGCAAAACCTTCATTTTCTAATGTCCAATTTCTTCATCAACTGGGAAGTGTTACCACACATCCTTGCACTCAATCTTAAGAGTGGCAAAATCTTTATAATGCACATATGATTTCTTTCTTAATAAAGACAGGACCTTGCTTTGTCACCCAGACTGGAGTAGCTGGGACTACAGGTACATGCCAGCACATTCAGCTAATTTTTAAATTTTCTATAGATACAAGGTCTCACTATGTTGCCCAGGTTGATCTCAACCTCCTGACCTTAAGTGATCCTCCTGCTTTGGCCACCCAAAGTGCTGGGAATACAGGCATGAGCCACTGTGCTTGGCCAAGATTTCTTTATACATCACAAAATTCGTTCATATCCTTAGTCTTCCAACTTAACAACATCCTTGTGCCAAGGCAAGGAATGCTGTTATAATATCTCCATTGTAAAGATTTAAATACTTGTCTAAAGTAGCACAAACTAGTGGCTGTGTTGGAACTACATTTTTCAAACAGTAACCTTTCCACTAGCGGGACAGATGAAGATACACATTCCCAACACACACACATTCTCCCCTCATTTCCATGTGGTCTGAGTGAGACTGGTTATCATTTTCTCTAATTATTCTAAACTCCACACATTTTCACAAATTCAGTGTTGTGTTTAGTTCTAAAAAATCTAATGCCTAGCATATACAGTAGGCCACCTCTTGTCTGGTTTAGTATATCCTCATTGGCATCATCATCTTCTTTGTGGCTACAATGAACTACAGTTGACAGACTATGAGGAAAGAGACACATTATTCAACTCAAGTTCACAAGATGCGAAAGTTCTGGGCATTCCCCATCTCCGAATGACTCAAACTGCAAGCCTTAATTTATAAGCAAGCTTAAAGAAGCCAACAATGTCAGAAAACAAACTAAATCAACTCACCAGATTTTATGTGAACAGGTCTTATATGATGTTATATAAGAAGAACCCAGAGCAATTTTCCAGTCATCTTTTGCCCTAGAGATTAATTACTATCAATTCTAAGTAACAGCAGAAGGGGTAAACTATATTAAAAGGGGCTTCAACAGTTAAAACACATTCTTGGTTAGTCATTAAGTTACGAAAACATAACTCTGATGAAGAAAGTCAAAGAAAAATCAATTCTAGATTAAGTCTATAAGCCCAAGGACAGGAAGCAACTTATTAGTAAGTTTCTCCCTTAAAAGGTTTCCAGCTCAGTGCAGTGGCTCATGCCTGTAATACCAGCACTTTGGGAAGCTGAGGTGGGCAGATCACCGGAGGTCAGGAGCTCGAGACCAGTCTGGCCAACAACAGGCTGAAACACCATCTCTACTAAAAATATAAAAAATTAGCCAGGCATGGTGGCGGGCACCTGTAATCCCAGCTACCTGGGAGGCTGAGGCAGGAGAATCTCTTGAACTCGGGAGGCAGAGGTTGCAGTGAGTCGAGATCACGCCACTGCACTACAGCCTGGGAAACAAGACCAAAACTCCGTTTAAAAAAAAAAAAAAAAAAAAAAAGGATTCCAAACTCCTGATGGGAAGAAATGGTTCTCTCCTTGTACTGCACCTTCATGCAGTCAAGGAGTATCTTAGTATTCCAAGCTGCTCTATAAATAGCTTTCTAACTTTGCTGCCAGTTGCAATTCTATAGCTAATTTTTAAGTTAGCACCCATGGCTTTTTTTCATTGCTAATGAGCTATGTCAGGCAGTGTTTCTAGGATAGGCTAATCTATAGAAACCACTTGAAGATAGTGCCTTGATCCACTCTAGGTCACCAAGTCAAAACAATATTTTGCAAGAATACGATGAACAAAAATAAAAGAGTGTTTATACTCTATAAAGTCTAAGACTTTATATTAATACCCAACACAAATTCCAAACCTGATAACAAATACACAAATACATAGTTCTGTGAAGAAAAATTACTAAAGCTAATGTTAAGAAAAGAAAAACAGGCCAGGTTCAGTGGCTCACGCCTGTAATCTCAGCACTTTTGAGACCGAGGCGGGCAGATCACAAGATCAGGAAGTCGAGACCATCCTGGCCAACATGCTGAAACCCCGGCTCTACTAAAAATACAAAACTTAGCCGGGCATGGTGGCACATGCCTGTAATCTCAGCTACTCAGGAGGCTGAGGCAGGAGAATGGCTTGAACCTGGGAGGCAGAGGTTGAGGTGAGCCGAGATAGTGCCATTGCACTTCAGCCTGGGCAATAAGAGTGAAACTCGGTCTCAAAACAAAACAAAACAAAACAAAACAAAAATTACTGCCTGCTAAACTCTAACTTCTCAGTCATTAAACAGCTGGTTTTACTTCAAAAAGGAAACGTACAAATGGGAATAAGGATAATGTGGGTGTATCTTCCAATTCTGAAAATGGGAGGCAAAGTGACCACATAAAGAAAAAATCAGAGGGCCAGGTGCAGAGGCTCACACCTGTAATCCCAGCACTTTGGAAGACCGAGGCGAGTGGATCACATGAGGCTAGGAGTTCGAGACCGGCCTGACCAATATGGCAAAAGCCCGTCTCTACTAAATATACAAAAATTAGCCAGGTATGGTGGGTGCATACCTATAATCCCAACCACTTGGGGGGCTGAGGCATGAGAATCACTGGAACCCAGTGCAGTGAGCTGAGATTGTGCCACTGCACTGCAGCCTGGGTGACAAAGCAAGCCTGTCTCAAAAAATAAAAAAATTTTTAAAAAGAACAAATCATCAGAACTTTACTCCAGTTCCATACCAAGAGATCAAATGCAACTATCCTGTTAACTTATTTTCTCTTGGATATTCAGTTTTAATACACAAATTTATTGCAGAGCAACCCACTCCATTTTGTACGTATCAATAAATCTTCAAACTGACCTTATATCTCAAAGCCAGACAAATTCCCCCACGACAGCTCACCTGAAATAAAGCCAGTAACTGTTAATTAGTGAAATTCATTTTCTTTTCTTTTTTTTTTTTTGTCTGAGACACAGTCTCACTTTGTCGCCCAGGCTGGAGTGCAGTGGTGCGATCTCAGGGTTTCATCATGTTGGCCAGGCTGGTCTTGAACTCCTAACCTCAGGTGATCCACCCGCCTTGGCATCCCAAAGTGCAGGGGTTACAGGCGTAAGCCACCGTGCCTGGCCTCTTTTCTACTCATCCAAGAGAAATGCTACCTTCCAAAATTCTGCCCCTCCCTTTCCAAAGATCCAATCTGAAGACAGATGAACTTAGAGAAGTTAAAAATAAAAAAGTACCAACCATTAAAACTAGTTTGATAGGTAAAACTACATATCGGACACAACTAAAGATTATTCTAAACTACATCAGGCCAGGTGAGGTGGCTCACGCCTGTAATCCCAGCACTCTGGGAGGTCGAGGTGATTGGATCACCTGAGGTCAGGAGTTCAAGACCAACATGGCAAAACCCCATCTCTACTAAAAACAAAATACAAAAATTATTCAGGCGTAGTGGTGAGAACCTATAACCCCAGCTATTCAGGAGGCTGAGGCAGGATAATTGCTTGAACCCGGGAGGCGGAGGTTGCAGTGAGCAGAGATTGTGCCACTGCACTCCAGCCTGGGTGACAGAGCAAGACTCTGTCTCAAAAAAAAAAAAAAAAAAAAAAAAAAGAACTGTATCAGTAAGTTGCTTAATTTCAAGTCACAAATGGCCAAAAAAAAGAAAAAAAAAGGCAAAAACAAAGTTCACCCTTTTTTGACAAATAACTCAAAACTAGATGTACATGTACTACAAGTAAAAGCAAACATTTTTAGCTCTTAATGGTTGTCACTGGTGCACAAAAGGCTGTAAGCCAAAAATGTGTAAGCAATTATAGCCACAAAAACTGATACAGCCTTGACCTATTACGGAGTTCTAATATTAAACAGATACATGCAATTCCCCATTCTACAATACATATACACAGCATTCATATAATTTAAGAAACATAGTCCTTCCATCATGCAAATTATATTAAGGATCCTGGCAACAATAATAATGTTTTATTTCTGTGTTTCTAAAGAATTAAAATTAAGAGACAAAAATAAGGTGAAGCAATTACTCATCAATCCATCACTTAATAATTTTAAAATTATGTCACTGTGGTAGAACATAAAGAAATGGTGATGGATTAGTGATGCTCCTTATATACCCTCAACTGATCCCCCTAATGCGAACAATACTCAACACATACAAGACAATTTTTAATAAAGGTAGAAACTCCCTTTTTTTTAACATCCAAGATACACACTGGAAAAACATTAGTTTTATTATTATTATTTTTTCATGTGATAGTGGTCTTGCTATGTTGTACAAGGTGGCCTCGAACTACTGGCCTCAAGAAATACTGCCACACTCAGCCACCTGAGTAGCTGGGACTACAAGGATGCACCACCACACCCAGCTGAAAATTCACACTTTTGTTGCCCATTTCCTCCTAAAACAAAAATCACATAAGACAATGCCACCTATTCCTACCAATGATAAGGTATGCAAATTCAAACTGTTTTTCAAATAATGATATACTAGTAGATGGGACGGAATACTCTACTGGAGAATGAAGCAAAAGCTCAGAGAGAAACTGTCTCTGGTATTCGTTTCCAAAGGACCAAGCCTATAACAAAAAAAGGTAAAGGAACACAATTGTAGCATCACAGAATAACAGAGAAAGAAGGCAATTTAGAAAATAAACTATTTTCATAACGGATTTTTGTGAGGTCATATGGAGCTAGGGTCAGTACCCTACATTCCAGTTAGAGTTTATTCCTCTTGAAGCACATGGAAAATTTATCTTAAGATAAAAGTGGTGGCTCACTCCTGTAATCCCAGCACTTTGGGAGACAGAGGTGGGCGGATCACTTGAAGTCAGGAGTTCCAGACCAGTCTGGCCAACATGGTGAAACCCCATCTCTACTAAAAATAAAAAAATTAGCCAGGCATGGTAGCATGCACCCGCAGTCCCAGCTACTTGGGAGGCTGAAGCAGGAGAATCACTTGAACCTGGGAGGCAGAGGTTGCAGTGAGCTGACGTCGCGACACTGCACTCTAGCCTGGGCAAGAGACTCCCATCTCAAAAAGAAAAAAAAAAAGAGGTATAGAAAGTTGACATCTCAAAATGTAATCTTACACATTTACATAAATTATATTTCTCAAAGAAAAGCTCTCTCCTATCTATATCTCATTCCATATAAGTTTTCTGTGAGCTAAGAGGCTCCCCTTCAGATTGCGTGACCTCTAGTCAAGGTTCTTCATAGCCATCTAAATGTTGGATTTATTCTCTGTGTCTTCTTACTAGTAGTGTTTTAGTTTAAGTATCTGGAAAATAGAGCCAATAGGACTATCTGACGAATAGGTTTGTATAAATATTGTGTTAATAATGCATGTCAATTGCCCAAGACATAAAAAGGTCTCCTTAAATGTTAGCTTTTCTCCCCATTTTGTATGTTATGTCCTAACTAAACCAACTGATACGGTTTGGCTCTGTGTCCCCACCCAAATCTCACCTTGAACTGTAATAACCCCCACGTGAAGTACAGGACCAGGTGGAGATAATTGAAACAGCATGGCAGTTTCTCCCATGCTGTTCTCATGATAGTGAGTGAGTTCCCATGAGATCTGATGGTTTTACAAGGGGCACTTCTCTCTCCGGCCATCATGTGAAAAAGGACATGTTTGCTTCCCTTTCTGCCATAATTTTAAGTTTCCTGAGGCCTCCCTGGCCATGCAGAACTGTGAGTCAATTAAACCTCTTTTCTTTATAAATTACCCAGTCTTGGGTGTTTCTTCATAGCAGCATGAGAATGGACTAATACACCAATTTTTATCAGATTTTGTGAATCCCTGAAGACTGAAAGGTTTCCTTTCTTTTATAAAATTTCTACTTTCAGATCAAAATTAGGTTTACACTATTTCTGTTGAGAAGACTTCTTCAATGATTCCTGTGCAATCTAGAGACTTGGAAATCCCCCAAGCCTCAGTAATTGCCACCATTCATTCAGTCTATGATAAAGTTAATACAAAAAGTTTGAGGCGGCAAAATCTCATCCTCAGCTTCCAGATCAGCAAAACTCCTTGCCTTTCCTGTTTTCACACTGGCAGCAGAAACTACAAATAAAGTGTAATTTTGAAAAGTTGGCTCTAACTGTGGTCCAACTTGACCTACAGTAGCCAAAAAGCTGTATCTAAAGGTTATATAATTAAAAGTCATACTCCCTTCACAATCTAGCCTCAGACAATTGTTCCAACTATACTTCTCATTGCATCCAACCTGTCCCTCTCACAGTCCAAAAGCACCCCATTTACAAATTTCTTTGTTCCTCAAACACAATTTCAGCTTCCTGTCTACAAATGTTTGCTCATGCTCTTTCCTCCACCTGAAATGCCTAGTGTTCCTAATAACTTATCATTTAAGGTCCAGTTCTCTTCCCTTATCAAAAGCAGTATCTCACTCCTCTGATTTTTAATGTCATTTGATCTGTACTTATCTCACACTGTCTGGCAATACAGCTATCTACATATGTCATCTTCCCTACTAGACTGAGGACAGATTAGTGTTTCTGCACTTTGATTTCACAATAATCTCAACACGACCTGAATAGTGACACTGTTAATTAAATTTGGCCTAAAGCTGCTTCCATTAGCAGTGAACTGCACCTCAGTATGGTAAAACTGCAACCTAACTTGAGTATATTCTTGTTCCGAGCAGCTAAGTTTTCTGCCAATCACAAGCTGCAAGCTGCTCAGACATGTCCAAATAAGGCAAACGTGGACCCAAATGCAGACCTGTAATGAATCAGGCTATGTCAAGATGTCACTTCTTTTTCTGTCTATAAATCCTGACTATCCACATTGCTGGGTGGAACTTTCCAAACCTTTACTCCTTCAGGGTGCTGCTCAATTCATAATTGTTTCTTTGCTCAAATTAACTGCCAAATTTAATTTGTCTGAAGTTTTATTTTAACAAGACTCAATATGTAATGCTAAAGAGCATATTAATTTCTATAAGACTAACAAAGTCTTTTTTTTTTTTTTTTTTTTTTTTTTGAGACAGGGTCTCGCTGTCACCAAGGCTGGAGTGCAGTGGCATGACCTCAGCTCACTGCAACCTCTGCCTCCTGGACTCAAGTGATCCTCCCACTTCAGCCTTACAAGTAGCTGTGACTATAGGCGTGTGCCATCATGCCCAAATAATTTTTATATTTTCAGTAGAGATGGGATTTCACTATGTCACCCAGGCTGGTCTCAAACTCCTGGACTCTAGCAATCTGCCCACCTCGGCCTCCCAAAGTGCTGGAATTACAGGCATGAGCCACGGTACCCAGCCAAAACTAACAAAGCCTTGTTTGGTAGAGATCCAGCTTTAAAAATGCACAAGTGACAATATATCATTTTCAGATATATAAAAGTCACTAATTAAATCAAACAGGCCACCAAGATTCTTACTGACTTTAAACTGATTTAACAAATCTTATGTATTCATACTATCACCCAATAAGATAGTTTGTGTTTAAGTTCATTCATAAATTTAGACAAGTTCACAAAAACCATGAGTTCACAATATGCCTGATTTTAGTTATTTGCAGACCCAAATATTATGTATAATAACATTCAGAGGTCCAATTTTGGATGGTAAGGTATACTGAGCCCCCTGCACATGTGCCAACAGAATCATGCATTTCTTCTTTCCTATTCTTCTCAACAACCCCACTACAAACTATGTGTGAAAAGGAAAAAATACATTGCTAGTTTCACAGCACTGGTATCTAAAGCTAGGGAAGCAGCTAATAAATGGGAGAAACGAGGGCTCTAAAATGAAGATGGAGGATGGCACTGAGAAGCCCAGAGTCTATCAAGACAACTCCTGCTCCTTTAAGGGTTCCCTCTCCAGTCTCATTTTCCCTTACTCCCATTAACACTTTGCATTCTACCACACAAAACTATTCAGTTTCCCACAAACACACCATAAAGTGCTTTTTTGTCCCATGTCACTGCTTATCATATGCAAATCACCATTTATCCTTAAAAGTTCCTGTTACCTCCTCCGTGAAGTCTTTACTAACCTCCTTCAAAGTTACTCTTTCCTATTTGATCTTTATGTAAAAAGTTATTATGCATTTACCTCAATGTATTACAATCAATTATTAGTTTGCACATTTTGCACTATTAGATCTCAGGCTCTTTTTAAGGTAAGAATCAAGTGTTTCTCTTTTTTTTTTTTTTTTGGACACAGAGTTCCATACTTGTTGCTCGGGCTGCAGGGGTTTCTCCATGTTGGTCAGGCTGGTCTCGAACTCCTGACCTCAGGTTATCCACCCACCTTGGCCTCCCAAAGTGCTGGAATTATAGGCGTGAGCCACTGTGCCCGGCCCACTCATCTTTATAATATTTTCTGGACTGTCACCATTTTTCCTTAGCACTCCAAAAAAAACATGATTTTTTTTTT